ACTCCCCTTCTCCTGGTGATTGGCTAAAAGCCACCCAATTGGCTTTTGTGCCTAAGACGGGAACTAGAATTCCCCATCTCCTGGTGATTGGCTCAAAGCCACCCAATTGGCTTTTGTGCCTAAGACGGGACTAGAACTCCCCATCTCCTGGTGATGGGCTCAAAGTCACCCAATTGGCTTTCGTGCCTAAGGTGGGACTAGAACTCCCCATCTCCTGGTGATGGGCTCAAAGTCATCCAATTGGCCTTAATGCCTAAAGCGGAACTAGAACTCACCATCTTTCAGTTTCTAACCTGCACCAAACTAATAGGCCACAATTGGTGAGGACAGCAAACCCTTGTGCTTCTGTTGTCCGGCGCTTTTACTCATGGTTTACGTAGTGAAGATCATCGCCTTCTGATCCTGCCCAGTCTTTTGGGGAGTAAACTTTGAGTGCTGCTTGAATAAGGACTGTGTGACTCTTAATGAAATCCCTTTCAGTTGCCAATGGGGCAAAATAGAGAGGAAAATACTCTTAGATCCGTCAGAAACTTGCTATAAACTTGCTAAACTTTATAAACTTGCTATAATGAAAAAAACGGCCCGCTACCGAAAAGCTGCGCATTGCCAATACAAAAGCTGGGACTAGCCAAGCCTCCGAGTTTCATGTTGCTCTCCCTGCAACTCTTGAGTTGAAAGCATGCGCTGCCTTTTGGGGTTCTGACTTTTAACTGCTGCTTTTGAGTTCTGTCCATACTTAGAATCTAGTGGCTAATTTGGGCCTTTGAGATTTTTTTTCAAAGCCAGCCTGTATCATGTCACTCAGCTGTGGGTTATATCATTATGCACAAAGAAAGTATTAGCGGCCCGGGAGGGGGATAAGTTATCGTAATCCTATTAATATGCAAATGCACGACTCTTGCACAACTAAGGTTGCCAGGCCAGGAAGCTCAGTTTTAGGCTGCCTGCAGTCTAATGAGAAGATGTTTGAAAGCGTTCTTTAGAAATTATTTTTATTTTATGTCGCGATGTATTTTAAGCTTGCATCTGGAATGCAGGAACGTAAGTCAATCCTCGACTTAGCAATTGGGCAAAGTAACAGCCTGCCCCCCCTAAAGTAGTTATGACCAGATTTTGAAATTCTGATGGCTGCCATTGTGTGTGTGTGTGTGTGTGTGTGTGTGTGTGTGTGTGTGTGTGTAGGGATTTGCAACCATCAGAACTTCAAAATCTGGTCATAACTACATTTTGGGGTGGAGGGACTGTTGCAACTTTGCACGATGATCACATGGTAATCCACTTGTACTTGGAGGGACGGGGTGGCTCAGTGGCTAAGATGCTGAGCTTGTCGATCAGAAAAGTCGGCAGTTCCGGCGGTTTGAATCCTTAGCGCCGCGTAACGGAGGGAGCTCCCGTGACTTGTCCCAGCTTCTGCCAACCTACCAGTTCGAAATCAACGTTAAAAATGCAAGTAGAAAAATACGGACCACCTTTGGTGGGAAGGGAACAAGTGTTCCGTGCGCCTTCGGCATTGAGTCATGCCGGCCACACATGACCACGGAGACGTCTTCGGACAGCGCTGGCTCTTCGGCTTTGAAACGGAGATGAGAAGCGCCCCCTAGAGTCAGGAACGACTAGCACATATGTGCAAGGGGAACCTTTACCTTTAATCAGCTTGCATTTACAAGCACTTCATGTTTTCTGCCCAAGGGGATACTGCCGTGGTTTTAAGTGTGAGGACCAGCTGTGATTCCCCCCCCCAAAAAAACACCATCATAACTTCAAACGGTCACTCAACAAATGGCCAATAAGTCAAGGACTAACTGCAACTTAAGCACGTTTGAAAGGGTGTTGCAGACCTACCGCATTTTAGCTCCTGCCATTGTGGCTGTTAGAACCCGATACTCCAGTTCCTGCATGCAGGCATCGAATTGTCTTTGTAAGTGAAAAGACAACAACTGTCAATCGGTCACAAGTCTGAGTGTTGCTAACACAGGGCTGCTGATGACCTTCCAATCTGATTTCACAGAACATTCAAGAGAGTCACGGGGAATTCTTGATGATTCGGTCTCTCTTAAAATAGCAGGGGGGGGGTGATTTTATTGCCGGCGGGGATGGCATATTTAATTTTAGCCAAACATCCTATTGGCTCCTTCGGGGAAGCGCCTGTTTTGCTAAAGTTATGCATCTTATCTGGGCCAAGCTTAAGTGCTGGTGGAGGAGTCGCTAAAGCAAAACACGGCACAACAAAGGGCAATTGTTCTTCCATTCTCCTTCCCAATTTGGTTTCTCACCACATCAAGAAATTCTCTTCCAATAATGATTCTTCCCTCCCCGCCCCAATGTATTTCCGCCCTTTAATGATTATGTGGCTGTTGCCTTTCATCCTTTTGACCATCGGCTCATTCATTATTTATTGTCCCTCCCCCCCCCCTTATTCATTATCTCCCTGTAGATGGCACTTCACGTGCCCCCGTGGTGTTTCTAAATTAAAATTGGACGCAGGTTGGGGAAATAAAATAAACTTCCCTAGCAGAAGGGACTAACAAAGGGAAATGGGTGCCCCAGAGCCCAGTCACGGCAGAGGGTTTGGGATACGGAGGCTTATATTTAACTTTAAATAGCAGGTTATCCATCCACCCTTGTTAATTACATCTGAAAGTCACAATTGCTTTCTTGAGGGGTGCGGAGGAGACGATGATGACCGACGGACACTTGAACTCATAATTGCTAGCTGCAAAGAGTTTTCGTGTTGCTTCTTGCCAGCCGTCAAATTTACTACAGATAGTCCTTGACTTACAACCATTCATTTATAGTGAGTGAAGTTAACAAGGGCACTGGAGTGTGGGGGGGAATTGACTTACGGCTGTTTTTCACTGTTGCGGCCTCCACGTGATCAAAATCCAGGCGTTTGGCAACTGGCATGTATTTATATGGCGGTTGCTGAGTCCCCCCGGGGGGTGTGTGTGTTGTCACACGATCCCCTTTTGCGACCACCTGGCCAGCAAAGTGAGTGAAGAAGCCAGATTTGTTTAACGACAGTGTTAAGTAACTGAACAGGCAGCCGTGATTCCCTTAACGACGCCCTTTTGCTTGTGAGTCGGTCGCAAAAAGGGGAATCCTATGGTTCCCAGACACGGCAGCGGTCATAAATGTGGGGCAGTTGCCAATTTTGATCGTGCGACCCGTCCACAGGGTGGCTGCCACGGACGTAAGTGTGGGAACTCTTTCCAGTGCTGTCGTAACTTTTTGAACAGTCACTAAACGGACTGTTGCAAATTGAGGACTAGATTGTAAGTTCGTCTTTCAGTTGCCTTGGCCTCTTGAATTTGGACTGCCGAATGTTGTGTTTGCATTCAGGCCCCGCTTCCATTTTTATCCTAACCCTGGAATTAAAGCAGCATATATAGCAAACGAGGAAGAAAATTGACTTGTGTACGTTTCGGAATAAAGAATTTTCCGCATGCCTTTCTTAAACTGTAATGTCAAAACAACAATTGGTAGAGTTTTTTTCCCCTTCCTCTCCCCTTCCACGGGGTTGTAAATCCTATTTTGCTCCCATTATGCATAGCATTAAGAGAAATGGGGTGGCTCAGTGGCTAAGACGCTGAGCTTGTCGATCAGAAAGGTTGGCAGTTCGGGGGTTCGAATCCCTAGCGCCGCGTAACCGAGTGAGCTCCCGTGACTTCTCCCAGCGTCCGCCAACCTAGCAGTTCGAAAGCACGGTAAAAAATGCAAGTAGAAAGATAGGGACCACCTTTGGTGGGAAGGGAACAGCGTTTCCATGCGCCTTCGGCGTTGAGTCATGCCAGCCACATGACCACGGAGGCGTCTTCGGACAGCGCTGGCTCTTTGGCTTTGAAACGGAGATGAGCACCGCCCCCTAGAGTCAGGAACGACTAGCACATATGTGCAAAGGGAACCTTTACCTTTAATCCGCTTGGATTTACAGCCGCTTCATGTTTTCTGCCCAAGGAGATACTGCCGTGGTTTTAAGTGTGAGGACCAGCTGTGATTCCCCCCCCAAACACCATCATAACTTCAAACGGTCACTCAACAAATGGCCAATAAGTCAAGGACTAACTGCAACTTAAGCACGTTTGGAAGAGGGGAAGCTTTACCATTTTAAGAGAAAGTGACAGATGTTTCCAAAGAAAATATGGCAGACAAGAAAGTGCCCCCCCCCCACGGTATGATAAAGTCATTTCTGAATGCAGATTTGGGTTTTTAAACTACTAGGAAGTCGTTGCTTTGCAGGGAAATCTGGAATTCCATAAAGGTGGGATTGTGTGGGGGCTTTCCCCAGTCTGCTTTCTTTTTGTGGCCCGGTGGAGGAAGAAGTAATTTACCCAGGCCCAATATTTGTCTTTCAGATCTCCTGCGACGGCTTCGTCTGGAGCCACGTCCTTCCGAACTCCTTTGTCCGCCCAGCCATGCGAAGCCCAGGATGAAGCTGGAGGCCGTAGTGGAGCAGCTGCAGAAGCAGCAACAGCAGCAGCAGGTGCCTCCTCCCCCGATGGAACCCCGAGACCGGCCCCCGAGGCTGATGAGGGACCCTCCGTTGCAGTTCCCTCCACAGATGACCCTCCAGCAAGCCGGCTTGGCTGCCACCCCCGGCAAAGTTTCCGGTGGGCCCATCCTTGGACCTTCCGCTAGGATGCCCCCCGTCCTGGGGGCATCTCGGACATTTGACCAGAGCGCTCTGAACTCGGAGGAGGAAGAGGAGGAGGAGGAGGAGGAAGAGGAGGAGGAGGAGGAGGAAGAAGATTCAGAAGACGGCGACCTGGAGGACAACAGCGCCCCCAGGACTGGCCAGGAGGCGCGATCGGCTCTCCAATACTTTCACGCTTCCAAAGCGGTTTCCCACAACCAAAGAGTGACTCCTTCCTCTAAGCCTCTGCCGGTTCTCGGCGCCCAGCGGAATCCCCAGGGAAAGGACCAAGCGGGGAAGGAAGCCCCCAACGTCCTCTTTTCCGGGGCTCCAACTGGGAGACAGGCGTGGAGACTGGAGGAGCAGCACAAGCAGGTCAGTCCAATGCTTTTGCACGCACCCACACATACACACAGGATGCCGTCGGAAGCTTGTGGGTTGCGTGGCGTTTGTGTTAATGTGGCTCTTCTTTGCTGCACAGCGACAGCCGCGCGCCGTAGTTGGGCGTTAGTTCCCTTTTTACTTACCGTCCTCGCCTTGCAACCGGAATCGAGCCCGGCGTCTCTGTGGCTAAGCGAGACCGCGGCGAAGGGGACTTTTGCCCCGTTTTACAGACTTCCGTGCCGCCGTCCTTAAAGGAATCGCCGCCGTTGTTCAATTAGCAACACGATTGTTCGGCGAGTCCAGGTTCCCCTTGGGTTTCACTTGCCAGAAAGTCCCCCCCCCCCCCCAAAATGTGATCCCATCACCCCCAAAGCCCCGCCACCGTCGTAACTATGAACCCAATTGCCTGGCATCCATCTTTTGCATAAGCTGACCATGGGGGGTTACAGCCATGGTCGTAAGTGTGGAAAAAATGATTCCCAAGTGCCGTTGTAACTGTTGGGATGGCTATAAGACGAGGATTGTCTCCATGAAGTTGGTCCCTTCGGTTTATGTTATTTTTTTTGGCCAGGCCCCTGTGAGATAGTTGGGTCAGAAGATATTTGATGGGATCTTTTGAGGAAGCAAAAAAAAATCCCAGGAATCTGGCTCAGAATCCTTGAATAAATCAGCCTTTGACTGCAGCCGAGCCTTTGATCATTGTGAACTCTGGGAAGTGAGCAATTTTGTTTCTTAAGCCATCTCCTCTGCCTCTTCCTCCTCCTCCTGTTCTTCCTCTTTCTCCTTCTCTCCCTCTTCATCCTGCTCCTCTTCCTCCCCCTCTTCCTCATCCGCCTCTTCCTCTTCTTCCTCTTTCTCTCCTCCTTCTCCTCTTTCTCCTCCTGTTCCTCCCCCTCTTTCTTCTCCTTTTCCTCCTTCTCTTCTTCCTCTTTCTCCTTCTCTCCCTCTTCATCCTGGTCCTCTTCCTCCCCCTCTTCCTCGTCTGCCTCTTCCTCTTCTTCCTCTTTCTCCTCCTGCTCCTCTTCCTCCCCCTCTTCCTTATCTTTTTCCCCCTTCTTCCTCTTTCTCCTTCTCTTCCTCCTCCCTCCTCCTCCTCTTCCTTCTCCCCCTCTTCTTCCTCTTTCTCCTTCTCTCCCTCTTCATCCTGCTCCTCTTCCTCCCCCTCTTTCTTCTCCTTTTCCTCCTTCTCTTCTTCCTCTTTCTCCTTCTCTCCCTCTTTCTCCTGTTCCTCTTCCTCCCCCTCTTCCTCGTCCGCCTCTTCCTCTTCTTCCTCTTTCTCTCCTCCTCCTCCTCTTTCTCCTCCTGCTCCTCTTCCTCCCCTCTTCCTTCTCCTTTTCCTCCTTCTCTTCTTCCTCTTTCTCCTTCTCTTCCTCCTCCCTCCTCCTCCTCTTCCTTATCCTCCTCTTCTTCCTCTTTCTCCTTCTCTACCTCTTTATCCTGCTCCTCTTCCTCCCCCTCTTCCTTCTCCTTTTCCTCCTTCTCTTCCTCCTCCTTTTCTTCCTCTTCTCTTCCTCCTCCCTCTCTTTCTCTTCCTCTTCCTCCTCCTTCTCTTCCTCCTCCTTCTCTTCTTCCTCTTCTTCCTCCTTCTCTTCCTCCTCCTTCTCTTCCTCCTCCTTCTCTTCTTCCTCTC